CATTTCCTTGTATTAAGCTGCAGCTTAAACTGCACTGCTTTCAGCTCAGGTAGAACATATTTAGTAAACTGAGCTTTATTATTTTTAAAGCTCTATGAAATTTTTACTCATAAATTATAATAATAGAAGTATAATAATCATAATGATAAAAAAATTAGCTATAGAGGCATTATTAAAGGAGTTGCCTTTGTGTTATTCAGGAGAGAACTTTCATCCTGGACTCAGCATCAGTAAAGGCTATGCATCTCCTAAACAACTGATTTGATTTGATCTTTGGAGCATTCTGAAAATTGGAACCAAAATACTTTCTTATTATTTTTAGGCTGTTGGCATCTTATCAATTATACAGTATACATTTCTGGATATTAATCTTATTCTTACCTTTATCAATTTCCTGCTCTTATTTTCTCTCTCTAATCTTTCAATCATTTATTTTCTCCTTTCATATTTTAGAAATTTTTATAATTTTTATATATTTTAAATCCTTTAAGAAACAAGTAGAACAAGGCAAGGTACAAATAGATATAAAAGAAAGATGAAGAAAAGTATAGAGACAGAAAAGAGCAGGAAGGAGGAGGGAAAGAGAGATAGTAAAGTTTGTTGTGTGAGGTAATAATTCACAATATGGATCTGAATCTTACAAAAGTGGCATGGCAGGAATATATACATATTTCTTCTGAAATCCATCTATACTGAATCAGTCAATATAATTGACTTCCATGTGGAAATATTTTATAATTCTGATTATAAAGATATTTGATCTCACAAAAATAGTAGAAAAATACTTGATCTCTTCTTGTTACTTTTTAAACTTTATAGGTACATCATTGATATACAAAAAATGCATCTATTTAATATATACAATCTGATGAATTTGGACATATACATACACCTGTAAAACTACCTTTACAATCAAAGTAATATACTTATCCATCACCTGTCTTATTATTTTCAATTTAGGACTATGGAAATCATTTTCAGAAATCTCTCTAGTGTAGAGTATTTTTCCTAAATATTTTTACCTTTAATGCTTTGGGTTTTTTTCAGAATTCACATAATAAACTCTAATTACACTGAATCACTACTCTACTTTCTGATATTAAAAACCTATTCAGTTTCCCAGAGAATGTGACAATATCTGAGACAATAAGCTGCATCCTCTTTTCTCTTGTCTACTCTGGCTGATCTACACCAAACTGAACTAAAATTACCATGTAGCACACCTCAAGATTTGGTTGATTATCAAGCAGGTTTTAAAATGCACAGAAAATACTAAGATACAAGAACAGCTTTGTACAATTTATATAGCATTTGACTGTTTACTAGGGAAAACGTACTGGGTTCTTTCCATATGTAGGGTTTTTCTGTCCATTCTAAAGACTGTCTGCCTTTCACAAAAAAAGAAAAATATCAAACAAAGACTGGATACAAATTACTTCATTCCTTTCTTGGAGATAAATTCTCTGATAGAGCATCTGGAAGCACCAACATCTACCACAATCCCAGAAAACTGGACTTTCTTCACATCTATCTCCCTTCATTTGCAAGGGCAACACAACCACACAAAATCTATGAGATGCAGCAAAAGCAGTCCTAAGAGAGAAGTTCATGATACAGTCCTTCCTCAAAAAACAAGAGCAATCTCAAATAAAAAACCTAACCTATCTCCTAAAAGAATTAGAAAAAGAAGAGCAAACAAAACCTAAAGTCAGCAGAAGGAAAGAAACAATACAGAACAGGGAGGAAATAAATAAAGCAGAAATTTAAAAAAAAATACTAGCAAAAAAATCAGTCAAACCAAGAGATGGTTTTTTTTAAAGAGTAAACAAAATTGACAAACCTCTGCCCAGGCTCACCAACAAGAAAAGAGAGAGAACACAAATAAATAAAGTGAGAAAGAAAAATGGAGAAATTACATCCAATACTACAGAAATATAAAAAAAAATAAGAGAATACTATGAACAACTATATGGAAATAAATTGAACAATCTAGAAGAAATGGACA